AAAATTATTGTTTTTTTACAGCAATTTTAGTTACTTATTATCATTGAAAAGGATTATGTTGTGACAATAAGAACTCAAATTAAAAAGTAGCATTTGCATGAACTGGGTATATATCAGGTGCGAAACGTGTGCCTGTGTGTGATAGAGATTTTTTAGGTAATATTGGACCACTTAAATTTTGTATGTGATAGAGAGAGTTGCTTAGGAAATATTTGCATTTGCTACTTTTGCGTTTGTTATTTTTTGCTCTACTTTTACTAAATTTATATACGTTGAAGTGGAGACAATACAATGAGAAGTTAAAGAAAGGCATATGCCAAAACGACTGCTGGCTGTTTTGGCATATGCCTTCCTTTAACTTCTCAAGCGGTCAATTTGACAGATATTCGTTATCTCTTTACTAGCAGATGAACCCGGCGTTGCATGGGCAAAAAGTAACGATAGCAAAAATTAATATTTTTAGATTATAGCCGATTTTACCCATTTTCACCGGATGCAAGAATTAGGTCTCCCTCTTCCGAGATTAATTAGAGAATTTTTACATGGTCTGAAAATATGTTGGATTTTCTGCAAAAACGCAAAAAACCGCATCTAAAATAGTACAGTAAAGCAGAGTTCTTTAAGATAATCCTTAACCCTGTCTCTCTCTCCTGCGGGGATAATTTCCAAAAATTCCTTCTTAGTGTGCATTCTTAAGGCGTATCCTACTAAAACGCAGTCATAAACGCAAAAAACTTGATTAAAATAATTACTGAATTTTAATAGAATAAATCTTTAGTATTCAAAAAGAATTTTTATTTAAATAACCTATAAAATAAAAAAAATTAAAAAAATTTTCATTATAATGGAGAATTAACTTACTTGCTTGCTTTACTTGTATTATATGGTAGATTTTAAATTCTAAAATCTAAAAAAAACTTGTTTGAAACTTTATATATTTCCAATTCAATATTTCGAATTTTCTATTTATTATTTTTGGGTTACCCAAAAAATGGAAATTATTAAAATATTTATTAATTGCCAAAATGTATACTATATATATCACTATTTACTTTCTTTGTTTATTATTTACACTTTATACCGACTGAAATTGACTCTCTCCTCCTCTTCCCTCGAGGGGGGTTGAAATTTCCAAAAATCCTTTTTAGTGTGCATTTTCATGATGTCCCCCACTAAAATGGAAAGTTTTTCCAAATTAAGATTAATAACACGCTACTTAAGAAGTTCAATAAGCCAAACAAAACTTAGAAATCTATCATTAATTTCTAAATTTCTAAATTTCTAAACACGGAAACATAATCACGATACTGGTTCAAGTGATAGCGATGAGATTGAAGAGGCTGCTATTTTAAAAGGAAAGCCTAGCTGTTCAAAAAAACATAAAATTAATCATCAATACATGGAAGAATATATGAAAGCTTTCTTGACGGAACGATGAACCACCACGATACTTCGACTAGCAAAGATACTTCGACTAGCAAAGATACTTCGAGTTCACGATTAGATACGATTAGCAAAGATACTTCGATTCCAGCCGAAGGAGTGAAGGAAAGATTGTCCCGGCCGGAGGCCGTCGACCAACTATTTGAAATTCTTCATCGAAGCGGCGTGATGGAGACCTTCGAGTGCGCTATACAGGAACTCGTATGGCCTGCCGATGAGACCGCCGACCCGATAACGGCCATGATCCGCAGCCTCGGCGGTTACGAACCTGACTACGTAGCAGTGCTACGAGCAGAACTACAATTGGAGAGGAATAGGAACAGGGCCCTCCGGGCCACAGTGGACGACTACCGACAGAAATATGAATTGCCGAGTACGTCCGAACCCGTTGTAGTTTTATTGTCGTCGGACGATTCCGACGAATTTCGTGAGAATCCGGCGAACAAGAGGAGTAATACACCGGAAGAGGCCGCGGGATGCAGCCGAAAACGTTGTAGAACGTTTCCCTAGTAAAAATAAACTGATTTAAGCAAAAAAAAAAAAAAGTAATTAAATTTTTTTCTGTTGAATCTACATTGGCTGCCACTCTAGATTACGATTCCCTAATTAACGAATTTGCTAAAGTTAAAGTTAGAAGGGTAAACCTGTAGTAGATTCTTGTAGTTGATACTTGATATCATTATTTTAAAGTAATTTTTATTTTCAAAGTAAAAATAGTATTCGTACAATTTGTGCAGTTTTTTTAAATCACAACCGAAGGTATTTTAGAGAAAAACATTTAAGGGGCGGCATTTCGAAGACTTGTTTCGCCCTGAGTGTACTGCTGTTTTGAATAAGATAAAGGCAATGATAAAAACTGAATAAAAGTTAATTATAACAATTACAACGATTGGGCCACCATCTTTTCTCCTCTTCTAAAAAAAAAAAAAAAGCAACTAGTGCCCTCTCTTTTTTTCCTTCTTTAGCCTTCTGGCAGATTTTCTCTTTAAAAACTTTTTACAATATATATTTTTTTATTTTTATTTTTAATTCTTCTCAATTAAAGCCTACTAAAAAGTTACCTAAAAAAGTTTTTGAAACAAAGAGGCCTTTTCTGCGCATTAGCAAATATAAACAAAACAACACATTACTTCCACACATTTACTGTAATCTTTAATTCCTGTCCCGTATTATTCCCAATATATCTAGTGCAGTACTGATCTAGGGTAGTGACATGCTGAACTTGACCGGTGGACCCGCATCTCATTTCAGTAACAGAACGTTTTTGAAACAAGAGTTTGCTAGTTGTTATAATTTTTATATTTAAAGTAACTTTTGAAATATATTACTTTAGTTTTTACATTTATTATTATATCTATTTTGTTTGTGCAAAATAAAAAAGTAATTTTGGACGATACAATAGCCATAATTATTATTTTTCTTCAAAATCGTGAATATTTTTTAGGCTTAACATCGACAAAAATTTAAGATGGTGCGACCCGCAACGGAGAAAAATTTCAATATAGAATAATTCGGTTACGCATATTAATAAACAATCGTAAGTAAATTAATATAAATATATTTAACATTACTTGATTATAGTTTAATAATAAACTTTGTAACCCAGGAAATGATGACTAGATTTATCACACGGAAACATAATCACGATACTGGTTCAAGTGATAGCGATGAGATTGAAGAGGCTGCTATTTTAAAAGGAAAGCCTAGCTGTTCAAAAAAACATAAAATTAATCATCAATACATGGAAGAATATATGAATTACGGCTTTACATGGACAGGTGATAAAAATTGTCCAACACCATTGTGTTGTGTATGTGGATTTAAACTTTAAATAGTGCAATGGTTCCTGCAAAGTTGAAACGACATTTTACAACTAAGCATAAAAATCTTACTTCAAAAGATAGAAATTATTTTGATAGATTTTTAATTATGAAAAACAAACAGGCAACCTATTTCAATAAAATTGTGAAATTATCTGATAAATCTCAAATAGCCTCCTACAAAATAGCAGAATTAGTAGCTATGAAACAAAAACCACATACCATAGCCGAGTCACTCATTTTACCAGCATGTTGCGAAAAAAGAAGTAATGAAAATACCAGTCTCAAATAATACGATTCACAGAAGAATAATCGATATGGCATGTGACATTGAAAGCAGACTTGCAAGTAAACTTCACAATACGTCTTTCGCTCTTCAAATTGACGAATCAACAGATATTAGTGGAAAACCCATTTTACTTGGATACATTCAATTTGTTAAAGAAAATAGAATAGTCAACGAATTTTTGTGTTGCAGAGAGTTACTAGAAAGAACGACTGGAGAAGCCATTTATAATGCTATAAATTCTTACTTTGAATGTTTGAATTTGAACTGGGAACAATGCGTGGATATCTGCACTGATGGAGCTCCTTCGATGACAGGCTCAAACAATTTGTGAGATTTATATAAATCACTGCTTCTTAGATAGTGAAGTGCTTATTGAAAAAACATTACCTGCAGAATTAAAAGATGTTCTTACTAGCGTTGTTAATATGGTAAATTACATAAAGGCGAGACCATTGAAATCCCGAATTTTTAAACAACTGTGTGCAATGATGGAAGCAATATATGAAGGGTTAATTTTTCATACAGAAATCAGGTGGCTTTCTCGAGGAAAGGTGCTTTTTCGTGTACTGAAACTGAAAAAAGAATTGATAGTTTTCTTCAAACAAGAAAATATGTGCTTTGCAGAAAATCTTAAAAATGATATGTGGTGTGCCAAGCTTGGATATTTAAAGAACATATTTAATTATTTGAACACTGTGAATACTACCATGCAAGGTGTACACGAAAACATCTTAACATCAACGGACAAACTATCAGCTTTCCACAAGAAGATCATTCTTTGGAAAAAGAGAGTAGAAGAAAATAATCTCAGTATGTTTCCATTCGTACATAATAATACCGATATTGTTTCCTTGATATCAGAACATTTAGCAATATTAGAAAACAACGTAAGAAAATATTTTCCTTCTCTCGATACGGACAAATATGACTGGGTTAGGAATCCATTTATTTCAAAAGAATTATATAATAATTCTGAATTTAATGTCTCAGAAGAAGAGGAGCTTATATCCTTGTCATCTGACCGTTCCTTGAAAATCAAACATGCTGAAATGAATCTTGATGAATTCTGGATATCGGTCCAACAATATCCACTGATCCACTGATATCAAAAAAAGCCAAAAAAATTTTACTATTTTTTTCAACTTCATATTTATATGAACTTGGGTTTTCCACATTAACCAATATAAAATCTAAAAAAAGGGAAAGATTGACAAATTTAGAGGAAGAAATAAGGTTTGGTTTGGTTTGGTTGTTCTAGTTTTTTGGCACAAGAGCCATTTAGGCTAAGCTGCGCCAAAGCAAATGGTAAAAATTTTAAGACATCACACAAACGAACATAGGACATTATTACATAAATAAATAAATAACAACAAATATATATAACAAGATAACTAAGCAAAAACAAGGCAAATAAAACTTTAAAATAAGTAAATAACTAATCAAATATCTCTATATTAATATAATAAATAACAAAACCTATAACAAAAATATATAACAGTACACGTGTATATAATAACAACATATAAATAAATAAATCGTTAAATAAATAATCAAATTTGTTTATAATAATTAGTGACTTTCAGAAAGTTCAACAGTTTATCAAGATTTGGCCTCTGACCCAGAATCTCTCTAAAGCTTGCATTTCCAAAATGCTGTCTACGTATCCTCTCAGAGGCAATGCAGTTGCAAAGTATGTGTTTAACACTTACAGTACAGTTACAATATTGGCATAAAGGTTGGTCTTCACCCTTCAAAAGGTACAGATGAGTCAACCAAGTATGCCCAATTCTCAAACGACTAAGAATAACTTCAGATCTCCTGTCATACTGTTTATTATGTGTCCAATTTTCTATATTCGGCTTGATCTCGTGTAGTTTATTGTGGATTTGTGCATTCCACATGTTTTGCCATCGCTCTGCTAGTCGGTTTTTAACAACTAGCTTCAAATCACCTCCTTCAATAGGCATTATATGTTGTAGAGGACTAGCTGCCTTTGCAGCTGCGTCCGCTTCTTCATTTCCTTTTATACCTACATGGCCTGGGACCCAACAAAATTTTACAAAAAAATTACTTGCAATAAGATGGCAAAACAGTTTTTGAGTTTTAATCACTATAGAGTGAGAACTAGGTTTGCTCGAGATCAAAGCCTGAAGTGCACTAACTGAGTCAGTATAAATCACACAGCAACGATGACCTTTCCTATTTATATAATTTAAAGCTAAATAAATAGCATGCAACTCTGCAGAAAAGATGGAAGAATTCGATGCAATTTGTTCTGCCACAATTTCATCCTGGCAGACGAAAGCTGAGCCGACGTAATCATCAGATTTAGATCCATCTGTATAAATAGGAATTAAATTCCTGTCACGATGTTGAATTTCTGCAAAGTGCTGTCTGTAGATGTAGTCTGGGGTGGATTCCTTTGGAAATTGCTTTAAGCTAAGGTCAACATTTATCACAGGAGTAGACCAAGGAGATATACTACAGACCTCTAGCTGTGAAATGTTGCTTGTGTTAAGGTCAATCGTGCTACTCACATTTTCCATTCTTATGGCAAATGAAGGGACACAGCTTGGGCGAGCTTCAAATAACCTATTCAGCGGAGTATCTAATACTGTACAATCAGCTGAAGATTTAGTGTGAGATTTCTGTTTTATATAGTAAAATAGAGACAACTGTTCTCTCCTGAGAGATAGTGGGGGCTCATAAGCATCTGCATACAAACTTTGAACAGGAGAAGTTCGAAAAGCACCAGTGCACAAACGTAGTGCTTGATGGTGAATTGGATCCAGCATACGAAGAGTAGATTCTCGCGCAGAGCCATAAACAATGCAACTGTAGTCCAGCTTAGAGCGGACAAGGGCCCTATAAATCCTGAGCATAGAAACTTTGTCTGGTCCCCAGGATGAGCAGCATAGTACCTTTAAAAGGTTT